TCTCTCCCTTTTTATTCCTCCTCCTCCAGGCTTTTGTGGGTAGTTGATTTTATTTTTTGCCTTTAGTTAGTATTTGATTGCTCCTCTTTCTTTGCTGTGATCTTATTGTCTCTGGTGACATGTGTTTAGCCTTAGGAGTGCTTCCATCTAGAGCAGTCCCTCTAAAATACCCTGTAGATGTGGTTTGTGTGAGGCAAATTCCCTCAACTTTTGCTTGTCTGGTAATTGTTTAATCCCTCCTTTGTATTTAAATGATAATCATGCTGGATACAGTATACTTGGCTCAAGGCCCTTCTGTTTCATTGCATTAAATATATTATGTCATTCTCTTCTGGCCTGTAAGGTTTCTGTTGAGAAGTCTGATGATAACCTGATGGGTTTTCCTTTGTAGGTGACCTTTTTTCTCTCTCTGGCTGCTTTTAATAGTCTGTTCTTATCCTTGATCTTTGCCAATTTAATTACTATATGTCTTGGTGTTGTCCTCCTTGGGTCCGTTGTGTTGGGAGATCTGTGCATCTCCATGGCCTGAGAGACTATCTCCTTCCCCAGATTGGGGAAGTTTTTAGCAATTACCTCTTCAAAGACACTTTCTATCCCTTTCTCTCTCTTCTTCTTCTTCTGGCATTCCTATAATGTGAATATTGTTCCCTTTGGATTGGTCACACAGTTCTCTCAGTATTCTTCCATTCCTAGAGATCATTTTTTCTCTCTGTGCCTCAGCTTCTTTGTATTCCTCTTCTCTGGTTTCTATTTCATTTATCATCTCCTCCACCATATCCAACCTGCTTTTAATACCCCCCATTGTGCTCTTCAACAATTGGATCTCCAACCAGAATTCATTCCTGAGTTCTTGGATATCTTTCTGTGCCTCCATTAGCATGTTGATTATTTTTTATCTTGAACTCCCTTTCAGGAAGAGTCATAAGGTCCATGTCATTTAAATCTTTCTCTGGAGTTATATTAATTTTACTCTACCAGATTCCTTTGGCATTTCATATTTGTGTATGGCTCCGTCTAGTGTCCAGAACCTCTACTCTCTGGAGCTACTCAGCCCCTGAAGCAATGTCAGGGGTTGGAGGGGAGTGGGATTGGTGCCTGTGCGGAAGAAAGAGCTGTTTCCTGCTTCCCAGCTGCTATGCCTGTCTCCACTGCCTGAACCAGTGAGCTGAGCACACAGGTATAAGCTTTTGTCCCAGAGCAGCCGGATATGGATCCCTGCTTTCCACAAGCAGCTGGAATCTCAGTCTCTCCAGGAATTCTGCCTGTCTTAGCTTTCCAGCCCCATAAATGAGAGTATCATGAAAGCATCATGAAATGTAGGTTTGTGCTCCCAGAGCAGATCTCTAGAGTTTGGTATTCTGTAGTCCCAGGCCTCCACTCCCTCCATGCCCCATTTCTCTTCCTCCTGCTGGTGAGCTGGGGTGGGGGAAGTGCTTGGGTCCCGCTGGGCCACAGTTTTGGTACGTTACCCTGTTGTGTGAGGTCTGCTCTTTTCTCCAGGTGTATGCAGTCTGGCGCAGTCCTCTTTCCTGTTGCTCTCTCAGGATAGTTGTATTAATTACATTTTCATATTATATGCAGTTTTAGGGGGAAGCCTCTGTTTCACCTCTTACACTGCCATCTTTCCTCAACTTATTAACGTGCACCTACAACAACCTTACAGCTAACGTTATTTATGTATATATAAATGAGAGAAGACTGACTATTTCCCCCTAACACTGGGAACAAAACAATAACATCTTCTTTCACCACTCTTATTCAACAAAGTACTTGAAGTTCTAACCAGTGCAATAAGACAAGAAAAGGAAATAAAAGGCATGCACATTGGAAAAGGAAATAAAACTATGTGCAGATTACATGACTGTCTACATAGAAGATCCTATGGAATCTACAAAAAAACCTACCTAGAACTAATAAATGAGTTCATCAAGGTCACAGAATTCAAAATAAACATACAGAAGTCAACTGCATTTCAATATGTTAGCATTGAACATGTAGCCACTGAAAATTAAATACAATACCATTTACAATCACTAAAAAGAGAAATAATTAGATGTAAATCTGAAAAAAACATGTACATGTCATGTGCTGAAAAACTATACAATGCTGATGAATAAAATAAAAGAAGATCTAAATAAATGGAAAGACAGACTGTGTTCATGGACTGGTAGATTGACATATGGGTTAAATGAAATTCCTATAAAAATCATAGATTTTTTTTGTAAACATAGGCAAGAGTAATATGGAAAGGAACAGAAGAGCCAAAACAACTTTGAAAAAGAAAATAAGGTGGGAGGAATCTGTCCACCCAATTTTAAGAGTTATATATCTACAGTAATCAAGACTGTGTCGTATTGGTGAAGGGGTAGAAACATTGATTAATGGAACAGAATACTGATCCCAGAATATAACTACATGAATATACCCAACTGATTTTTACCAAAGGTTCAAAAGTAATTCAATGGAGGACAGAAAGACTTTAAAACAAATGGTTGTTGAGATAAATTTCTTGGCCCAAGATGGAGCCATTCCTGCTCAAGTTACCACATCAGCATACTGAAACTTAAGATAAATTTTGTGTACATGTAAATGCTCTGTTTGATCAGAAACAAAAGTATATTCAGTCAGCCAATCTCCAAATGCCAAGGCAACTCTGAGCTCCATACTTATTTCCTTGCACCTTCTTCCCTTAAATAGGGTTGGCATGTAGCCCCAGCCTATCAGATATTTTTTGTTTTTCTCCTTGTTCTTTATTCTTTATCCTTTGAAGGCTTCCTTCCTTCTGCCCCATGTTGCAGTTCTCCCAATGGAAACTGTCTGCTTCATGAAAAGTTAAATAAGATTTGTATAACCTAAATTGTCTTTAATCATTTTTTAACATGGTGCTGGAGAAACTGAACATCCTTTGGCAAAACAATGAATCTCTTCCTAAATGTCATACATTATACAAAAATTAACTTACATTGGATGTGATATAATGAGCCATTAGAAATACATATTTGGTCATTCATATGACCAAATATTATTTCTCAGGTATATCTGGTCTTCATCCACAGTTCCTGAAAACACTGCAGAGTCTTGAAGGTGAAATGCGTGTTTTGTTGTTAATGAGAGATTTTTGGACCCCCTCCCACCCAAGGGCAGGGGCTGGAAGTTGAATCAGCCAATGGCCAGTAATTTAGTCAATCATGACTATGCAGTGAAGCCCTCACAAACTCCTGAGAGCTTATCACTCTCTGCTCACAAGAGAACTAAGCTTGGGGAACCAGAATACTTCTGCGTGGTCCCAAGCTCCACAAGGATAGAAGCTCCTTTATTTGGGACCTTGCCCTATGTATCTCTTCATCTGGCTGTTAACTTGTATCCTTTACGGTATCCTTTATTAAACTGGTAAAAGTGTTTTCCTGAGTTGTGTAAGCCACTCCAGCAAATTAATGGAATCTAAGGGGGAGGTCATGGGAACCTCCAGTCTGTAGCCAATAGGTCAGTAGCACAGGTTAATTGCCTGGGGCTTGCGACCGGGAGTGTTGTAGGAAGCAGCCCTTAACCTGGGGAATCTGGTGCTGTCACCAAGCAGATAGCAACAGAATTGAGTTACCAGACACCCTGCTGGTGTTCGAGAATTGCATGGTGTTATGTGTAGGAAGACCCCCCACCCCACATACTTACACACATTGGAATTGGGTCTGGGAACCCAAATGGCATTATACTACTATTGCTGCTGTGTATAATGTTGTTGTATATATATGTATGGAAAGAACAAACCTTCATAGTGGATCACATATTTGAATATAAGACATAAAACTATACAACTTTCAAGAAAAAGCATAGAAGCTCCAGGATTAGATAAAATGTTCTTTGACTTGACATAAAAATCAAAAGTTACATACTATATAATTTCATTTATATGACATTATTGAAATGATAAAACTATGGAAATAGAGAATAGGTTACTGGTTACCAGGGATTAAAGAAGGGGTAGAGGTGGGATAAAAGTGGCTGTGTCTCTGAAAGGGCAACATGCGGGATCCTCAGATGGTGATGGAGATGTTCTGTATCTTGACTGTGTTATTGTCAATATCCAGGTGGTGATGTTGTACTATAGTTTTGTAAGATGTTACCATTAGGGGAAACTGGGTAAAGGGTTCAAAGGATAGGTTTATATTATTTCCTACAACTACATGTGAATTTGTAATTATCTCAAATAAAAAATTTAATTAAAAACTCAGTAAGTAAAACATTATTGTCCTCCACCTCCTAAATAGTAATAATTATCATCAGAGGCAGATTTACCAGGAACTTAAGGGTAAGATTCAGGGTCCACCTGCACAGACCCTGGGAGTGATGCAAATTACTGGGGATTTGTGATTCCAGTGTTCTAAATGGGGAGAAGCCAGCTTGCAACGAGAGACATATCTGATAAACTGCCTAAAGAGGTTTCAGCAGTTTATATTCCCAAGATTCCATAATTGGTTATTTTTTTTGTTTATTCTAAATAAATATTAATCTTACCAAATTTAAATGTATACCTAGTTTTAGAAGGTCTGAACAAGTACTTACAACAGCTTCAGGCCCTCCAAAACTTGGCTCTGCCCCTGCTTACCATAGCATGGTGGCTAGGAGCAATGACTCTGGAGCCAGATTGCCTAAATTCAAATCTTGACTGTTCTCACTAGATGTGTAGCCCTGGACAAGTTACTACCCCCTCTGAGTCTGTTTCTTCACCTTTAAAATGGGGATAATAAACCTACCTCACAGTTGAGTGCACTAAATGCATTATTTTAACTAAGAAGCTTAAAAGCACATGGTAGTAAATGTTTCGTGTATACCCTTATTACATTATTAGTGAGTACCTAGGTTGTGCCTGGCACTGAGTTGAGTCCTTTGAACACATTAATTTGCTTTACTCTCAGAATAATCTTGTGCGTAAAGTACTAATATAAGGCATTTATACATTCTAGATAAAAATAAACTGAAGTTTTGAGAGATCGAGTCCTTACGTCTTCGGGAACAGGCCTCACTCCAAAAACGCCACTTCCATCAACACCATTTTGCCTACAAAGGCAAGCAGTTTCCTCCTCCAAGACACTCCAGACCGGTCCCCGCGAAATGACCTCCCTCGTCCTAGAGCTGGGTTAGGTATGACTCCAATGCCGAACGCCTCTCCCAGGGACATGCAGACTTGCGCCGAGTTTCAGAATGCCCAGTGTTCCGCAGACAGGTGGCAATCCCTGGTTCTGCATTCCCAGCTGCTAGGTGCTTTTGACATTCGGCTGATGAGTACTACACGTTTTATGCTCCTGGGGTCATTCTGGCGAAAAACGTCATTTAGTTGTTCCTGGGCAAGCTCGCTGGCTTCCAACAGACGCCGAGGCACCAGGGCGGGAGTTAGTCCCCATCGGGTCGCCCAGCCCACACGCCCAACCGCTCCCGCCGCCGTTGGCCACACCCTTCCGCCTCCGCCTCCTCCTTGGGTCTCGAGTGCCGAACGCATCGAACGCAGCCAATGGGTTGGTGCGGCAGCAGCACCGCGGGAGGTTCGATTGACAGGGCCTGGCGGGGTCGGAGAGCCCGGGCGGCTGTTGAGGCGCGCTCTGGGTAGGAGAGAGCGAAGGGGAGGGCTGGAGTCCGAATCCTTTCTGCCGCTCTTTCCAGCCCCGCCTAGGATACTCCTCTCAAGCCCGGGTCGTTTACCAGCCCTGACGGGACCCCTGCTCGACCTCCTTCCGCCCGGGCACCGCTACCGCACTCCACACCTGGGAACTCCCACTGCTCCGGACTCGGCGCCTCGCCCTGGCCTGTGATCGACCACCCTTTCCCCGCGCAACTACCTGCTCCCAGCTACGCCCACGTGGGGCCGTTATCCCGACTCCACCCTGCCCAGGCTGGCATCCGTCTGTCTCCTCCGCGCACCCCAGACCTCTGCATAGTTCTGCTTAGATACTTCCTCTTTGGCTTGCTCTCCCTCCTCGGCTAACTGGCAACCCACACTGTCACAGTTGGGGCTCAAACCCCAGTTCCTGGCTGTATTCCCTCCATGCATGTTCTCTCTTAAGCCCATGCTGTCGATCATATAGCATCCTGTTCTTTACCAGGCTCTGGTTCCGCATTCTGCTAGGTGCCTTTGACATTTGTCTGATGGGGACTTGAGTTTCATGCTTCCGGGTCCAGCATGGTAAGCGAGGGCCTGTGGTAGGCTGGGTATCCCTGTGTCTGGGTCTAATTTGCTCGGAAATTAGAACTGCTGAATCCCAGCTGGTTCTCCCCTTACAGAGGAGGAGCTTAGCTCCCAGCCAGCTGTCCAAGAGAAAAGTGGAAGGCAGACCCTCTGGTGATGAAGACTGGCAACCTAGGGCAGTGGTGAGTACTCTGCCCTCCACGGGATAGAGAAGGTGGGGATGCAGGGTTGTTTGGGCCCAAAGGAATCTTGGAATTGGTTTCTGGGTTACATGGAATGAACCTGGTTACCTCCAGAAGCCTCTTTCAACAAAGTTTTAATGAGTGCTTACTAAGTGTCAGGCATTGAACAAGATAAATAAAATCTTTGTCCTCAAGGTGCTCACTAGAAGCTAACAAAACCTCAGTTTCCCTGTTAGGAAGGGATATTCCAAAGCAAAAGAGCAGATTGAGTTGGGCCCTTTGGCTCCCTTGAAAAAAAGAAAAAAGGAGAGTCGCCAATAGCTACTACTGTTTTGCTCTTTGTCCCTGCTAAATGTCATAGAACTGTAGTGTGCTGGGCCTACCTTAGGGTCTTGAGCCCACTTGGAACTAGAGTGGAGTGGTGGTACCCCTCCAGCCCCTGTTAATTACTCAAGTACAGTGCATTCTACTCTGGTCTGGGACTTCTGCTCTGCTTTCTGGGGCTGGCTGTGGGCAGGACCTTTGTAAACCAAAATCGGTAGGACAATGCAGCATGTACTTCCAGAGAGAGAAAACAGTTCAAGAAGCAAGGGCTTGACCACTGCAACTTTGGAGGAAGAGATAAGCTAAAGAAGGTCTGGGAGGGCAATTTTTGGGCAGGGGCAGTGTGTGAGTAAAAGCATGTAGAGAGACGGGAAGGGCTTGGTGTTCCTGTTTCAGGTGTGCCTTATAGGGTCATTGATGCTTATATGATCATTGGCAAGCTGATACAAATGGGTTCTTGCCTGATGGTTTGGTGGGGCTTGCTCTGTAGTTGCATCATTAGTGTGTAGGGGGCTCTTCTACCTGTGAGAGAGGCACATTGGCTGCCCCTTGCCACTTACATGGGTCTCAGATTTGAACTGAAGGCAGCATTTGGTGCAGTTGGGTCATAACTGGTGCTGTCTGCTGCTGGGCGCTCCTGCAAATAGTTCTGGTGCTAGTGTCCTTACTGCTGTGTGTGGACTGACTAGGGAGGGCCTTGGTGGCCTGGGATTTGGGGGCAGCTGTACTCCTGTTCCTCTCTTGGGAAACTCAGGGAGATGAGTAAACTGTTGCCCAGTTATTCCTTGGGGCTTTTGGAGTGACGATTTGGGGGCAGCATGACTCCATGCTACTTGTGGACTTAACCTTCACAAACCCACTTAATTCACCTCTTCTAGTGCCCCTCCTCAGATTAGGCAAGTTCTCTAACCTCATTAAGCTTCAGTTTTCTCACCTGTTAAGTAAGGATGTGTTAAAAAACAAAATTCACCTGAGTAAATTTGAAGATCTAATTAGCTTTAGTAAGCAATTCACGAATCAGGCAGCATCTCATTTAGCAAGTGGAGAGATACTCTCCTACAAAATGGAAGGTTTGTATAGAGGGTTGGTGGGGTAAGAAATTATTAGAAAAAAAAGAGATTGTTTCAGGCAACATTCTTCATTCTTCCCCCTTCCCTTAGGAGGAAGAGCAGGGGGTCTTTGCAGGTTACATCATCTTTTTTGTGGGAATGTAGAGGGCTTATGTGACAGACTCCCTCATTGGTGCTGCCCAGATTTCTGACTGACTACATTTTGGAGGGATGTTGAAGCTGCAGTTAGGTTAAGTGTAAAGCCCAGATTCGATGACTTGGCCTAGCAGAAATGACTCCATTTTGAGCCTGTGGTTTTCTTTTTAATATTCCCCACCTTTTTATCATGAGTCTCAGCTACTGAGAGATATCAAAAATTAAGGTATTGCAATCCCCATCAAAGCACCAATAGCGTTATTCAATGAACTACAACAAATAGTTCTAAAATTCATACGGAAACACAAAGACCCCAAATAGCCAAAACAATCCTGAAGGGAGAACAAAGCTGGGGGGATAATGCTCCCTAACTTCAAGCTCTACTACAAAGCCATAGTATAATCAAAACAATTTGGTACTGGCACAAAAACAGACCCATGGATCAATGGAACAGAGTAGAGAGCTCAGCTATAAACCCACACATATAGGGCCCATTAATATACAATAAAGGAGCCATGAATACACAATGGGAAAGTGACAGCCTCTTCAACAACTGGTGTTGGCAAAACTGGGCAGCTACATGTAAGAGAATGAAACTGGATTATTGTCCAACTCCATGCACAAAAGTAAACTTGAAATGGATCAAAGACCTGAATGTAAGTCATGAAACCATAAAACTCTTGGAAGAAAACAGGCAAAAATCTCTTGATTATAAACATGAGCACTTTTTCCTAAACACATCTCCTTGGGCAAGGGAAACAAAAGCAAAATCGAACAAATGAGACTACATTAAACTAAAAAGCTTCTGTACAGAAAAGGACACCATCAGCAGAACAAAAAGGCATTCTACAGTATGAGAGAATATATTTGTAAATGACATATCCTATAAGGGGTTAACATCCCAAATATATAAAGAGCTCACATGCCTCAATACCCAAAAAACAAATAACTCTATTAAAAAATGGGTGGAGAATCTGAAGAGACACTTCTCCAAAGCAGAAATTCAGATGGCCAACAGACACATGAAAAGATGCTCCACATTGCTAATCATCAGGGAAATGCAAATTAAAACCACAGTGAGATACCACCTCACACCAGTTAGGATGGCCAACATCAGAAAGACAAGAAACAACAAATGCTGGTGAGGATGTGGAGAAAGGGGAACCCTTCTACATTGTTGGTGGGAACGTAAGTTAGTTCAACCATTGTGGAAAGCAATAGAGAAGTTCCTCAAAATACTAAAAATAGAAATACCAATTGACCAGTAATTCCACTCCTAGGAATTTGCCCAAGAAAAATAAAATCCCAGATTCAAAAAGATATATGCACCCCTATGTTTATTGCAGCACTATTTACAATAGCCAAGGTATGGAAGCAACCTAAGTGTCCATCAGTAGATGAATGGATAAAGAAGAGGTGGTACATATACACAATGGAATATTACTCAGCCATAAGAAGACAACAAATCCTACCATTTGCAAAAACATGGATGGAGCTAGAGGGTATTATGCTCAGTGAAATAAGCCAAGCGGAGAAAGAGAAATACCAAATGATTTCACTCATCTGTGGAGTATAATAACAAAGCAAAACTGAAGGAACAAAACAGCAGCAGACTCACAGACTCTGAGAAGGGAGTAGTGGCTACCAAAGGGAAGTGGGTAGTGAGGGTGGGTGAAGAGGGAGGGAGAAGGGAATTAAAGGGCATTATCATTAACACACATAATGTAGGGGGGTCACGGGGAAAGCAGTACAGCATGGAGAAGACAAGTAATGACTATAGCATCTTGCTATGCTGATAGTGACTGCAATGGGGTGGGCGGGGGACTTGATAATATTGGTGAATGTTGAATCCACAATGTTGCTCATGTGAAACCTTCATAAGATTGTATATCAATGAAACTCTAATTTAAAAAAAAACTAAGGCATTAGTGCCACTCTCAGCTATGGCTCTGAAGTTCTTCAAGTTTGTTCCTTTGATATGGGGTCCATAGGTCTTGTTGTTTTTCTTAACCCCTGTTATATTAACAGATCACAGAAATTGATCATTCTCTTCATTCCTTTTTTGACCTTCCAGTTTTAAGATCACTTGCTTTGTTGTTAGAGCAGCTGCAAACATGCATTTACAGCTTCTGAGAGAATATAGTGCACCAGGGAGATTATTATAACTATAAGCAGGATAATTCCCAACTTTGGAGCCATGGTCCCCAAGATCCAAACCAATCAAAGTCAAAGAAGTCAAAGACCCTGCTAAAAGAGGCCCCTTTAAAGCCAAGTGGCTTGCTTGGTGATCTTACATAATTGAGTTTCTACTTCCCAAGAAGTGTTCATTCAGGTACAGCAGGTGGTGTTGGCCACAGCACAGACACCTTGCTCAGCTAAAAGATGATCAAGGGCTGTCCTATTAAGAACTTTGGCCATAAAATCTAAGGATCTTTGCTGGCAGCTAATGTCTTAAGAATAGCTTCTGCAACAACTTCAAGAAGTAAGTTGCTGATCTATGTTTATCCCTAACCAAGAAGTAGGGACCTGCCAAAAGAGTGAGTCCTGAACCAAAGCGTCCTGGTAGGTCCTCTCTAACTCAGCAGTGTAAATCCAGGGGAATCAACCAATGA